ACCTAAGAGCGAAGACCTCCAACTTTGACCGCTTTGCTGTCTTGTGGTTTCTTGTCTCCAACTTACTAGCGATGGCCTCTCAACCTGCCTTCGATGGCCTCTAACCTAAGAGCTATGGCCCCAACTTTTGCACCTTGTTTTACTCAGGTTTTTTTTAACCTACACCGCTGTCAAGTCAGTACGCATATCCATGAGTGTGTGTGTCCACCTCTGTAACTAAGAGTTTCTGCTTTTTCTCAACTTTCAAGTTGCGGGGGCGTGTGAAACTCTTATCCTACCACACGCAACGAAGCTGTGGATAAGAGTGGGAAGGGAAACTTGGCCAGTTTCCTGCACCTGCGACGCAACTGTTGGTCACGCTGTCCAATTTGCTTTTTGATTCCGTGGTGGTTTCATGATACTCCCCACAAAGGCTGCCGCCAAACCGAACAACCTTTTGGCCTCGAAGACCAAAGAGTCACCCCTAGTGCTCCGCCAAACCGGAGAACCCTACAACCTCATGACTCTGTTTTAAAACAGGCGAAGAGGAGACACTTTTTCCAAACTTCTCAGACTTTTCGGCTCTGACGCTTGCTTCGAAGATTTGCCCTTACTTGGAATGAATCAAATAAATTCGGCGAAAATTCCTATTTGCGTTTGTCCAACGGAGCTTCGTTCCCGTGAGGACTGCAAGACCATCGTTGGTATAAGTACGCGCCGTTCTGGCGTTCTCCTAGCGACCATAAACCAACAGGCGATCAAGCTGGCTCCACTTGGTAAACCAGTAGGTGGTACCACCTCTCCGGAGAGAGTATGGTCTGAAGTCAGAAGACGCAAAACCCACTGCGGTCAAAGTGTCATTAAACATTTTACGCCAGCGGGCCGGCGCATCGCAAATTGACTCTGTAGGCTTAGCTTGCTAGCCACCGACGCTCTCGGCTGCGCCTTGTCGTTGTCCTCCTTTGGTAAAACCGAGGGACACCACTGCCGGTCCTCGAACCGACTCGACGGCAACCGACTTATAGCAGTCAACCCCAGGATCTCTCCCGTACGCAGGACTCCATAATATCCCACGAGGAGTGACAACGCAAAGCGATGCTGTTTGCGAAACACGGCGCGCCCAACCATGGTATGGAGAGCATCTTCCGACAAAGGCAGCGCACGAGATGGGATCTCATGCACACTCCAAGCCTTTAAAAGGCGCCACGTAGCAGGCATCCAGGTAAATGCACAGCAATGTATCCAACTCATGAGCTTGGTCCGGAATACGACGTCCTTCTTCACGTAAAAAGCTCCAGAACTGCTCCAGGGCCTTCTTGTAGCGGTTGCGGGTTGACTCCTCTCCTCCTGAGCGTCCTTCAACATACAAGCGACCTACTTTTCCCATCGACGAGCGACTGGGCCGGTCCGCAGGGCTTTGGTCCGTATGGACATACCCGGACCAACAGGAGAGAGTTGATCTTCAACAGAGTGCGCCGTAGTTTGCGGCTACTGGACCTAACGAGCCAAGGAACGCACACGCACTTGCGAATCAACGAACATCGCTCACAAAGGCCGCGCGCAACGCCCAGGCAATAAATCAACCACGCGACAACAAAAATACACTGAGTTCCCAATCAGCGACATCCGCTCATCAACCCAAGCTTGGCCACTGCGTTGCCCTTTGGGATAGCACTGAACCAATGAGGACTTCCCTTTCCTCAGTGGGCCATGTCGCTCGGCACTATCTCGCAGCGCTGCGCTATCATCCAGCTCGCGCCTGAAGCTATCGCTTCCAGGCTCTTTAGCCGTTGAACTGCCATATCGACCGCGAGCGCGGCCTGGCTGGTGAGGAGGCAATCAACAATTGTGGACAAATTCGAGGCCTCCCTTGACATCACGGCCGTCATCCTGTCCTTGAGGACTTGCCGATAAAAGCGGACCGCGATGGCGTTCATGCCCACTTCTCCATCGGCCACCTCGCCCATCTCCAGCAACAACTGTTTGCTCACCTCGTTTAACGAATGAGCGGCTAGAGCGCCCGGTGCGGAACGAGCTGCACCTTAAGGTACGCCCTCGTCGCCACTCTCCTCTACGCTGCCCGAGCTCGAGCTTCCTCTTCCTTTCTTTTTCATGACCTTCCTGGCGATCCTTGCCACCTTTCTCCTGATCTTTGGATTCTTGTCCAGGCCGGTCTTCTCGAACACTGCGCTGAATGGCTTCTTGGGCTCCATCTTGAAGACCCTCCTCTTTTTCCCGAAAGCATTGCGAAGGGTTCTTCCGGAAAATCTCTTGAACACTGACACTTCTACACTTACACTCACACACTTACACTCACACACTTGCACTTGAACACTGACATTTCGACACGTACACTTGAACACTTACGCTTCCACACTTATACATGAACATGAAGACTTACACGTCTATACACGTCTATACGTATCCAAGTGTAATGTAAGTGCGAGTATGGAAAACTTGCACGGGAGATGTCCTAATGAAAACTGAAAAACTTGCACGGGAGATGTCCTAATGAAAAACATTTCCCCACTTTATAAATTCTCTCTTAAAGGCGGAGGGTGGGACGAACAGCGTCAAACGAAAATGCAACCCTCTGCGGAGATCGTGCGTGTCGCGCGCGCGAAATGCAGGCGAGAGTGCGATTGGGTCTGCGCGCGCCCCTCTGCGGAGATCGTGCGTGTCGAGTGCGCGAAATGCAGGCGAGAGTGCGATTTCTCCGGTCCGCGCGCAACCCTCTGCGGAGATCGTGCGTGTCGAGTGCGCGAAATGCAGGCGAGAGTGCGATTTGTCCGGTGCGCGCGCAACCCTCTGCGGAGATCGTGCGTGCCGAGTGCGCGAAATGCAGGCGAGAGTGCGATTTGACCTGTGCCCGCGCAACCCTCTGCGGAGATCGCGCGCGTCGTGTGCGCGAACGCAGGCGAGAGTGCGATTTAGCCTGTGCCCGCGCAACCCTCTGCGGAGATCGCGCGCGTCGAGCGCGCGAAATGCAGGCGAGAGTGCGATTCGGCCCGTGCCCGCGCAACCCTCTGCGGAGATCGTGCGCGTCGAGCGCGCGAAATGCAGGCGAGAGTGGGATTGGTGCGGTCCGCGCGCAACCCTCTGCGGAGATCGTGCGCGTCGAGTGCGCGAAACGCAGGCGAGAGTGCGATTGGTGCGGTCTGCGCGTAACCCTCTGCGGAGATCGTGCGTGACGAGTGCGCGAAATGCAGGCGAGAGTGCGATTTGCCCGGTGTGCGCGCAACCCTCTGCGGAGATCTTGCGTGTCGCGTGCGCGAAATGCAGGCGAGAGTGCGATCTGTCCGGTGTGCTCGCAACCCTCTGCGGAGATCGTGCCTTTGTAGTACAACTTTAATACGCGGAGTATCTGGCGAGCGGGGTAGTACAACTTTAGTACGTGGAGTATCTGGGGAGCTGAAAGATGAGAACTGGCGACTTTGTAGTACAACTTTAGTACGTGGAGTAGCTGGGGAGCTGGAAGATGAGAACTGGCGACTTTGTAGTACAACTGTA